TTATTCAAACCTCCATGTATTTGGAAGTATTGTGTACGTGATGTACAACGCCCAAGAAATTTCAAAGCTGGATCCAAAATCCAGGAAATGCAAATTCTTGGGGTATGCCGATGGAGTAAAGGGGTATCGCTTGTGGGATCCCACTGCCCGCAAAGTGATCATTAGGAGGGATGTTATCTTTGTAAAAGATAAACTACAAAGAAAAGAAGACGATGATAGCGCTGAAAATTCAGAGACTACTCAGATACATGTGGAAAAAGAGTTTGAAGAAGGAGATTCTTCTGAAGCAGAACCAGTATATGATGAACAAGAACCAGAGAGTTCTGAAGCTCCAACAACTCGTCAATCAGATCGTGTGAGAAGACGTCCCAATTGGCACTCAGATTATGTTATAGAAGGTAATATTGCATACTGCCTTTTAACAGAGGACGGTGAGCCATCAACATACCAGGAGGCAATAAACAGCTCAGATGCTTCACTGTGGATGATGGCGATGCAAGAAGAAATCGAAGCCCTTCATAAAAATAATATATGGGACCTTGTGCCACTACCACAAGGAAGGAAGCCAATTGGTAACAAATGGGTTTTCAAAATCAAGCGAAATGGTGACGATCAAGTGGAGAGGTATCGTGCAAGACTGGTGGTCAAAGGATATGATCAGAAAGAAAGTATTGATTTCAATGAAATTTTTTCTCCTGTGGTTCGACTAACAACAGTTCGAGTAGTCTTGGCAATGTGTGCTATATTGAATTTACATTTGGAACAGCTAGATGTTAAAACAGCGTTTCTTCATGGAAATCTTGAAGAAGAGATTTATATGCTCCAGCCTGAAGGTTTTGAAGAAGACGAAAAGAAGAACTTGGTTTGCAGGTTGAACAAATCTCAGTACGGTCTAAAGCAGGCACCGAGGTGTTGGTATAAGAGATTTGATTCCTTCATTATGTGCCTTGGATACAACAGACTTAATGCAGACCCTTGTGCTTATTTCAAGAGGTCTGGTGAAAACGATTTTGTTATATTGCTGTTGTATGTGGATGACATGTTGATTGCAGGACCCAACAAAGATCATATTGAAGAATTGAAGGCACAACTGGCTAGGGAATTTGAAATGATGGACTTGGGATCAGCAAACAAGATTCTAGGGATGCAAATTCACCGAGACAGAAGTAATAGGAAGATTTGGCTTTCACAAAAGAATTACTTGAAGAAAATCTTATCACGATTTAGCATGCAAGATTGTAAGCCAATTTCTACCCCTCTTCCTATTAACTTCAAATTATCCTCCAGTATGAGTCTTAGCAGTGAAGAAGAGAGGATGGAGATGTCTCGAGTACCGTATACATCAGCAGTGGGAAGTTTAATGTTTGCTATGATATGCACAAGACCAGGCATTGCACAAGCAGTGGGAGTGGTTAGTCGGTACATGGCGAATCCAGGCAAAGAGCATTGGAATACAGTAAAGAGGATCCTGAGATACATCAAACGGACCTCAAATGTTGCATTATGTTACGGAGGATCAAACTTACTAATCAATGGGTATGTAGTTTCTGACTATGCAGGGGATTTGGATAAAAGCAAATCTACTACAGGATATGTGTTCAAAGTTGATGGTGGAGTTGTAAGCTGGGTTTCAAAATTGCAGTCAGTTGTGGCTACATCCACAACAGAGGAAGAATATGTAGCAGCTACACAAGCCAGTAAAGAAGCAATTTGGTTGAAGATGCTACTGGAGGAGCTTGGGCACAATCAAGAGTACGTCTCTCTGTTTTGTGACAGTCAAAGTGCCTTGCATCTAGCAAGGAATCCAGTATTTCATTCAAGGACAAAGCATAGACGAGTTCAGTACCATTTCATTCGTGAAAAGGTGGAAGAAGGGACGATAGATATGCAGAAGATCCATACCAAAGACAACATAGCAGATTTCATGATGAAGGCGATCAATGCCAATAAATTTACTTGGTGTCGATCCTCTTGTGGCCTGTCAGAAACGTAAGCAACATGATGGTACAAGGTAGAAAGAATGGTGTGAAGATATGATTGTTCCAATCAAATCTTCAAGTGGGAGATTGTAGAATGTCAAAGCACCTTTCGGTGCAATTAAGGCACCGAAAGTAGGTGCATAATTTTTTATTTTTTGTATGGATAAATTACAAACTATAGTCACTAAACTTTAGGGTATTTACAAGATTAAGTCCTTAAGATTTAGCTATAAATACCCTATCTCATTTAGCTTCAAAACCATCCCAAAGCATTCTAGCTTTCTTCCAATACTAGAGAGAATTTAGAGAGTTTCTTGAGAGTTGTTTTCTCCTTTTTATCGAGAGAGAATTATCATTGTTTTCTCCTTGGTAGATCGAGAGAGGTTGTAATTACTATTTTCTCATAGTGAAATTCTTCTACCGTTGCCCGTGGTTTTTACCCTATTTTATTTAGGGGTTTTCCACGTAAATTTTGTGTCTCTTTTTATCTTCATTTTTATTTTCTCAAATTATCAGTTGCGATTTTGCTCTATCCGATAGCCGTCTTCCGTAATAATTTTTTGAACGGCCGGTACTTTACAACGGAAGATTCCATGCATTAGCCTCAATCCTTTAATGGCGATGACCCAACTTCTCATCTTCCCCATCCTTCCGGACAGTGCCCGAAGGAGAGGCCGTAGACTAATTTCCGATGCCCGAATCCATGAAAACACGATTTGAGCCTTCCTTCTGTCGATGCGGCGGTCGTCGTGACTCGTGGCGTTGACGATGGCTGCCTCGAGAACGGGACACCGGAACGAATCTTTCCCGGAAAAGTTAGCCGAAACGACGCTCTTCCTGTCTTTGATAACACGAGAAACCCTCTTCCATAACCCCATGATTTTTTTTTCCTTTTTCTCTTCTCCGTCACTAAAGATTTCGAAAGGAGAATGAAACAGCTACCGATTGAGGTTTTCGAAGCTGTTTTTTCTCTCTATTCTTCTTCAACAAATTACAATTTAATATCGGTTCAAATCAAACATATTTAAAATGTGTTACTAACATATATAAACCACGTGCTGCATGAAATTTGACACGTTAAAAGAACATAACAATGTTATTTTAGTTAAGGATGTTTTCTAATATGTTATGTATAAACTGTTCATACAATACGAACACATATAGTTATGATTTGAACCAATTCAATTTATATGATTAAACATGTTTTATGTTGGACTTAAGTTAATGTTTAACGTCCAAACTAACGGATACTATTTGTTTTGATTAAAAAAAAATTGGTTTTGATATTTTCTCGAAGAATTAATAGTTAGACAATTAGTATCATAAATTTGGTTTGGGTAAATTACGTGTTTAATACCTAAACTATCAGTTTTGATTCGTTTTTGTACCTAAATTTTAAAAAAAATATAATTTTGGTTAAAATTTATTTTTTGTTTCATTTTAGTAATCCGTTCAAAATGTAACGTTAAGCTTTGAAGAAAAAAAATGATAGGCTAGGTACTAAACACATTATGTTTTCAACGTCGGTTTATTAAAATGAAACAAAAACTAAACTTTAGGTATGATTTTAAAAAAATTAACAGTTTAGATATTAAAATTGACTAAAATTGATAGTTTAGATACTAAACATGTAATTTACGCAATTTAATTTTATAAACACGAAAACTATAATACAAAGGAGTTGTTTGTTTACTTCAGAATGATTAAGCGCTGAATGATTCAAATATTGAATGATTCAGAGGCTCTGTATGAATTAGCTCTGAATGTGACATGCTGTTTGATATTGGCTCTGAATCATTCATAATGTATTTATGTGCTGAATCATTCAGCATTGTTTTGCTGAATCAGTCAGCACTTCAGAATGGTTCATCATTCATCGCTAAATGGTTCCATTAAGAGGCAAACAAACAACCCCTAAGTATCGGTGCCACTATTTATGAATATGCAAATTTACTATTGGTACTTGTTGTTTGCTTGAATTGCTTGCATACCCATGACACTTTGAATTCATTGTAAAATGGTATTTGAATTATCACTTTCGTGATTTTTACGTTCGATTCGAATCCGATTGACCTAGATTTCAGTTCGTTACTTGAATATGAAATTATCTGTCCAATTAAATGTACAGATCAGATAAGAGATATTACATTTATAGCAAAATGTTGTAACTGTAGTGGACGAGTAGGTACATAAAGGGTTATTAGCATATTTTATGGGATTCATGTTCTCATATGGTCCATGATATTATGAAATACATGATCCTTTATCTATGTCATCTAGATATACATGTTATTAGCTCGATCGAACTAAACTTACCTCATTCCTAATTATACTATCCGACTAGATATATGATAAGATTTTAGGGATGAGATGAAATATTTGTAAGTCGGGCCGTGTCGAGTTTTAAAAAGAAAAATTAACATCCTAATGGTGTTGTCTGTAAAATTATAGAAAGTATGATGAAGCATAGCCCAAAGAAAAAAAATGCAGAAAAGTGGGGAAATTGTAATATTTTTCAACCAAACTACTGCTGCAGTTTGTAAAAAGCAATAAAGTAAAGAGTAAACAAGAAAGATAAAGCTCCCCAGACACGTAGAGTCCCTAGAAAAGTAATAAAGAAAAAAAGGGAGAAAATTTGAATTTGCTACTAAAATCGTCAATAAAAAAGAATTGAGTTTGTTGCACCTTATGTCCTCAAACTTTGAAATATTCCGATTTCATTATTAAACTATAACTCTAATTTTAAATTGATCTCTACAATTTTGAATATTCTGGCGAGATTGACCGTTAAGTTTTTAACGGAAATTACTAAAATGAAACAAAAACTAAACATTAGGTATATTTGAAAAAAAGTAAAAGTTTAAAAACTAAAGTGGACCAAAACTTATAGTTTAGATACTAAACACGTAATTTATCCTTTATTCTATAATATACTACTCGGGAGGGACCTTTGATGGAGTATAACTGTACAAGCGATCCCACACGGCCTTGTCTCTCTCTTTGTCTTTGCTTGTGCTTCTTTTGATGCTCCCTTTCTCTTCTTTTTCTTCTTCTTTACTTTCAGTTCATCTCTCTCGCCGATACGATACAAAGTAAGATTTTCCTGTCTGCATCGGTGCCATGAGCTTCACTCCCTATTATTTCTCTTCTCTCGATAGAAAGGAAAGTGGAGTAGCTGTGACGCGGCGGAGCTGGGAGCCGGGGCTCGACGGTGGTGGAATGGACATGGACTTGCTCCGGAAGTCCCATGCAGTGGAGTTGGACGTCGATTCCTTCTGGCCCGTCGAACATCCCATGGAACCTCAAGATGAAGATCGGCCTGTGAAATGTCCAATGTCTGCTTCTTCTTCTTCCATGAGTGTAAGTTACACTTTTACTATGCAATTATTGGTTGTAATCAGTAATGGCGGTCTTGCTTTATAATAATCATTTCCTTATGATATTCGAAGTATGTATTGTTTTTGAAGGATGGGAAAGGACACGAAGAAAGGGTTGCAGCAGAGAGTTCGCGGAAGAGATCGGAGCAACCGGCGATGGTGAAAAACAGAATTGTGGCAATGACGGCGGCGGAGCCACCGGTAAGAGCGATACGTAAAAGGCATCACATGCTCACCTGTGACAACAACATATCAGCGGCGCCTCTTGTCGGAAAACTTGGTCCCCCTCCAATTCCACCATCTCAGACTCTCACCATTTCTCAAATGCTTAAGTCCGACCAAGATTAAATCATTTGAAAAGGAAAATAGCCGTCTTTTTTCCCCAATCTTGCAATGTTCTGGTTTCAAATGCACTTGGAGAGCTGAGAAAATTGAAACTTTTCCTTGGAAAATCCTTGAAAAATGAAAATGTAGCCCAGGCTTCGTAATGCAGTACTAGCATATTGAGATTCATTATGTGTATTAATGAGATCCAACCTTACTGGTTTCAAATGTCAAAAAAAAAAAAAAAACTCAGTATTCGAATGTCTCATCGCTCTTTACAGTTGCTATCAATTTCGACTGATCGCAGTTGGCATCCTCTCTCTCAACTGCACTGTCAGGTTTGCTCGATACTATTGTTAGTTTTCATCGTAGCTCACCCACTGCTGGCTCTGTCTTGGTTTCGCGATTTTCCATCCGAGCTTGTCCCAGGAGCAGTTGTGTGAAGATCAGGTTTCTGAGGGTCGTTCTCTTTTTCGGGTGGGGAAGTTGCGCCAACGGGAATGTTGAGTTCAGGTGATGAATTATCGAAGCCTGGTGGAGGTAGGAATACTCTGGTGCCAACAACAGGTAGATGTGGTGGAGGATGCCTTGGAGGGGGAGCTGGCCAAGCAGTCATACCAGTTGGGATGGGAACCGGTGCTGGGAAAGGAATTGCAGGAACAATTGGAGCAGGCACAAAAAAAGGTTGAACACCATTCGGATGTGGAATATGCGGATGAATCGGCGGGACTGGTAGTACACCAGTTGTTGGTACCACTGCATAATGCTTGGGAACGGCAGCAGGTCGGAAATGATTGTGCGATTTATTACGTGCCACACCCTGATGTGAAGACTGAGAAAGCGAAGGTAAAGGATGTCTCCGATTGTCAGACGCAAACTTCCTCGGTTGATACTTGGTAAAGGTAACAAGTATCCGTTGCTTTCGGACAGAGGGCAGGGCATGCTTGGCAAAACACGCTGATTTTCCTTCCATCACAAGGAGTGATCTGCATTATAGTTGTGAAATAACAAAATCTAAGGGCCATAAAACAAAACAAAAGAATCCTATGGAACTCGAAATATCTTTGAAGCATTAATACCAGTTTTCAGGATCTACTAAATGCTTAAATTTCAAACATGCACAAATTTTTAAGGATCGTGAATGTGTTCATATCCGGAAAAATGGAAAACGATTACCCGGGTGAAAGAGAAAGCTTTAGAGAGCCTTGAAAGTCCCCGGGATGATCAACTGCAATCACCCTTCCGAAAGTAATGTTGCACTCAGTCAAGAACAGGAGGCAAACGGGCTTTCCGAACCAAGGTGGCCACATGCGTGGCAGTAAATGATCCCCCTAGAACAAAAAGGCACCATAACAGTATCCTTAAAGCTTAGCTCATTTTATATAAAACCACAAAACCAACACCATCTTTACCGACCTCATTATAGACATCGACGATACAAGAGTTGGGCTTTGCAGTCATAACTTGCAAGTCGACCAAACGTTCGATAACATCTTGCAGCAAGGTGGGAATGGCTTCCATCCTCCGATCTGCTAAAGCTCAAACAAATTCACAAGGAATTAAAATCATTTGTTAAAAAAATATATATTTCAAAAATATTAAATAAATAGAAGATGCCTTTGGAAGTCCCTGCAGCAGTTTCATCATCTAGAGGTGAATCTGCAATTGGAAAGCCCAATTGAATCGTCTCTCGGCTGTGTTCCTTAATGGGTTTTTTCAAAGCCACATCTGTCTGACCTGTTTCTTGTCGATTTGTCACATAATGTTAGAAAAAAGAAATAGCATCGCCTTCAACCTATGATAGTCGGACTCTTAAGGGTAGAGAACATAACCAAGGAAACAACTAGAAGTTCCCAAGGATCAAATTCCTTCTCACAGTCCAAAAAGAGAAACGAAATTCGAGAACTTGCCTTGAAATTGTGCTCTTCCCCCTGCAGCCCTAAGATCATTTACCAATGAAACGAGATTCAAAACTTCCTCCTCGTCAAACAGCTCCTCATACAATTTTAGGCCATCCACCACATTGACCTTATAAAAAACATTGTCGCATAAGGAGTATAAGGGAAAAGAAGCAAGAAGCCATTAGATTATGTAGAATTTCACAAAATATTATCATTGAAGTCGAAGGAATTACCATATTTCCATCAAAAACCTCGTTACCAACAAAAGTTTTAGGACTCATAGTAAGATTCTGCTTTCTGTTCTGATTTTGGGAGGAATGTAAGTTATTCTCTGAAAGATCATTCACAAAAGAAAATTAATACAACAGCACATACTAAAAATACTAACAAGTGTATTCTCATCCTATCTAGCAAAATAGGAAAGGGGAGGATTCTTTTCTGAAGAGAAATAAATGAATTTGGATAAGCTGAATTCTAAGGCCAAAAATTAACATCAAATGTACTGCAACTCATACTCAAAACCTTACAATAGCTAAAAGCAAACCCTCATGTCAAAATTACACATAATCAGGTCAAAGTGGAAATAAAGAATATGATAGCTATTTTCAAAATCAGAAAGCTTGCTTTAAACTCCTACGCCCAATAGAAATTTTACCAAAGAACGAAAAATGCAACTTTCTTGTTTCAGATAAAATGCCTAATCCCAAACTATAGTTACAATGTCGGATATAGATATATGTTCAAAATTACTTTATTCTCCTACACCCAATATAAGTTTTTATCAAAGCACAAAGGCTACTTTCTTGCTTCGGATAATATGCCTAATCCAAGAACGAAGCAAATCTGGAAACCTATGTTACTCAAACTCAAGTGAGAGTGTCAAACATAAGTATGCCTGCAGTCTGTATTGACCAAAAATGGATTCGTAGAAAATACTTAAAGAGTCGGATTGCCATACCCATACGCAAATATGGGTCCAACACGAGTATCGGGGTTACGGATAAGGTAGTAAACAGTTCCAACGACAACAATATCAACACCCAAAATCCTTCAGATTCTTTAGATATAGAAAATAGATAATGTTCAAGATCCTTGAAGAGTCATATCCTCGTACAATTACAGGATCAAATAAGCTAGTAAACAGTTCCTAACTCAACAATTCAACACCCAAAATCCTTTAGATATACAGATTTCAATTACCTACACAACAAGCCAAGGAATAATTAGATAACAAATTCAAGGTTCACCACAATGTAAGGCTAAAACAGATACAAAAGAAAGAAACATGAAGCAAGGAGCTAACCTGATTTATCTTCCACATTCCCCACCTCACCGCTCGACTTAACACCCACACCCTTCGCAGCCACTCTATCATTCCTCTCTGAAACAGTCGATTTCACATCACTGTCCGCCATAGGATTCTGCATTTCTTTAGCCGCCAGATCTACCCTATTTCCCTTGAACCCAATGGTTGGTCTTTTATATTCCTTTCCCGCGACTTTCCTTTGATCATGGAGCCTTTGCCTCCGCCTCCACGCTGCCTGTTGGAGTGCATACGAGACGTCGGTGACTGGAAAGTACGGCTGCATATGCAGCACGGGATTCCAGCTATGTCTCCTTTGCTGAATGGAAGCAATGACGGCATCATACTCACCAACCTCCGCAATCTCAAGCAGATGATGGCAAAGTAAGTCGGTCATGGCATTGACGGCGGCGAATTCCCCGCATAACCAATGTATAAACCCATCATTCTTGTCAGGGGAACATTGGTGCTGTTGTTGGATTTCTCCTCCGAAGGCAGCAGCTGCTCCGCCGCCTCCGGCGTCGCCAACAGCACCAGCTCCAGCTGGAGGTGCCGAAAACTGCATTTTATCAGATGAAACTACGTTTCCTGATTGCATTACAATTGAGATAAACTCTACTAACCAATCCAAGAAATTATCCAAACTACCAAAACAACGTATATAAATTTAAAAATCACAAAACAAAATTCTGATAGCTCAAAACAATTCACTGTTTCCTTCAAGGATTTGCAACGAGAAAAAAAATGGGTAGCTAAGGAACAAAGCAACAAACAGAAAAGCAAAAGCAAAAAATGCAGAATTGGAGTCGGTTTTGCCTAGTTTAGCTAAGATCTGGAAAATGGGTGTTTGGCCTTTGCTTTTGTCGTGTGTTCTTCGAGATGATCGATGGGTTTTTAATATCAAAAAGGAAAAACAAAGAGATGAAGATTTGGTTTTTAAATGCATATCTTGGATCGAAAATAAAGCGAGAAAAAGGACTTTATGGTATGAAGAAGTGAAGAAGAAGTGGACTTCTTTTTCTCTTAAAATGACTTTATTTGATCAATCTTTTGTTCTATATTGCAAGTGTTTCAAGTTTATAAACTGTGATCTGGGGGGTTTTGAGGTTTAACCGGCTTGACTCATAGGTTTTGATTGTGTTGATTATGATTATGGCAATTAAAGTAAATTTTTTAGGGATAAGTAAAGTTATTTTTGATAAATTTTATATATATTTGAAATTTGATACGAATTAAATTATTTGAAGAAAATAAGTGATTTAGTTTTACTTAAAGTAAAAAATCTAATATATTTTATATTAATTGAGGGTAAAAACATAGTTTGAGTAATATTTTATTATGATTTTTTATAATTAATTAATTATCTATTTATCTTTATAAATAAAAGTGATTCTAGTTGAATGAAAATTTATTTATGAGATTTTTCCTGTATTATTTCGTTTTTGATAAATTATCTTTAATTTTAAATTTCATACTTAAAAAATTATATCTATTGTTATATGCTCAATATATTAGTTATTATCTTAATTATTTTTTCAAGTTTTATAACTAAATTAATTGATATATGTGAATGTATATAAATGTCCAAAGTTCAAAAAAATATTAATTCATAATGTTGAGTTAAATTAATAAATTTAATTAATTCAAATGAATATTTGTTATTACATTTAATTTGAATGTATTTATAATTAAATATTATAACATTTTTAAAAAATATTTTGTTGTTATAAATGATAAATAATTATGGTTTAGTTTATTTGGGCAAAATTAGTAAGAGAAAATAACCTCAGTGACCGAAAATTCCTTATAATATACGATTTTGACCAAATTTTTTTCGATTTGCCAAAATGACCAACAAAATCGTAATTCGATCTCTAAATCGCAACGCGATTTCCAGTATCACAAATTAGTTTCTAGATTCGCAACGCGATTTTGACTATCGTAATGCGAATATGTAAATCGCAACGTGATTCTGACTATCGCAACGCGATAATACATAATCGCAACGCGATTCTGACTATCGCAACGCGTTAATACATAATCGCAACGCGATTTTCAAAGCGCCATTAGTATCGCAATGCATATTTTATTTTCAAATTCCAAACACGAATATTAATACATCCCGTACTTGCAACTCTTAACCTAAAACCCTAAATCACAACTCAGTCCCATCTCCATTCTCACTCTCTACAACGACATCCGTCCCCATCTCCGACGAAATCCGTCCCCATCTTCGGCGAAATCCGTCTATCTCCATCTCTCAGAGTCACCCTCACAATCATTCACGATCAGAAATGGAAAATCAACCAAATCAACCACCGAGTGTTAGTTTTTTTTTAATTATTTTTATTTTGAAATTTTTGCATTATTATTAGGTTTTTCATATTGAAATTGATGATAAGTTTACTGGTAATTTCAATAATAGATTAACCATTTCACTTAGATTACTTATTAAATTCATTTGATTGATGCCAATACTGCTAAACTGTTTAGTCTTTAACCCTGTAAAGTTAGTATTTGTCTTTGTTTTGTCTTTTGGTTGAAGTAATGCAATTCATTTAAGTTTCAATTTTAGACATGACTATTTGAAACCGAGGATCGCAACGCGAAATGAAAATCGCAACGATAGTCAAATTTGCGTTGCGATAGTCATTTTCGTGTAGCGATTTTCATTTCTCGTTGTGATAGTCAAATTTGCGTTGCGATAGTTATTTTCGTGTTGCGATTTTAAGTTTCAGAAACTATTATTCTTCTGCAAATTGAAACTTGAATGAATTGCATTACTTCAACCAAAAAAAAGACAAATACGAAATTCACAGTGTTGCAAATTTAAGTTTGAAGAATAAACTACTACTACTCTTTATTGTTTTTGGTATATCTTCACAATGTAGTTTTTAATCTAACTTGGTATGTTTATTATTTTTGTAGAACTTTTTTTCGGCTCAATTGACCTTAAGAAATAAAATAAGACTAGTCACTACAATTGCTTCGAAGCTTTCACCTGTACAAAGAACATTGTTTGAGGATACTTGCTTCGGGCCATGGCTGAAAGTACAACATCCGGGTAGAGATGCTATGTTGACCCATTTGTGGCTTCAAACCATGACTAGCGATCTACCCGAGAGTATAAAACGTGGTAATGAAGAGATATAGTTTCATTTTCCACCGGCGTATACGTGTTTTGGGCGGGAGGAGTTTTGCTTAATCACTGGTCTACGCTTCGGACACGATGATGTAGGTCGATACACTAGTCATATTACCCGCCCATCATGGTTATCCCGGATTTTTCCTGAACTGTCAATGGAGAAGCCGAATTTACACGTCGATGACTTGATGAGATTATTGAATAAGAAAGATGGTTTTACTCGGATGGATGACGTCAATATTGTCCGAGTATGCCTTTTAGTACTTTTGCATGCCGGCTTTTTAGGCAGAGAGGCCAGACAACCTATTCCTAAGGACCTAATATTATTGGTAGAGAACCTAAATGCATAGAACCTGTTTCCGTGGGGTTCGTATCTATAGAAAGCTACATGGAATAAGTTGTCGTCTGCTTTTGATGACCGCAAAAGTTTGCGTGGCGATTGTTCCAAATACACTTTGTCAAGCTTTATTTGGGCCTCTAAGGTAAGAATTTCTATATAATGTTTCCAAAATTATAATTAATTATTTAACAATTACTAATGTTTGTGTATTATATTATTTTTGTAGATTTGGATATTTGAGGCTTTTCCCGACATGCAGACATATGCATTAAAAACTTCAATGATATTCCTAGAGTTATTTCCTGGAAGAGGAAACGGTGGTTGTTGATTTGGGAAGAGTTAATACGGTATACGACAATAAATGATGTAAGTTAACACAAATACTACCATATATATAAACAAGTTATTACTAGTACACGTTTAACTTTGTTTGAGCTTTTATATTGTTAGGAGGCCAACACTCCATTACAGAGGCTGACACCCACGGAGGCTGAGCTTGCCACTGATTGGTGGCAAGCTAGTAAGCGTTTTTTTGATGGAACGGATGATGAGCAACATCCACTTCGAGAGCCATCACCTCACCCAGAGCCATCACCTATTCCGTCACATCATCGAGCCTCTTCTCCACCATCACCTCATGATAGGCGACCGGCAAAGATGCCACGACATTTATCTCCCTGTTCTCCACCTCCACGGGATGAGTTAGGGGAGTTACGTGATGAGGTCAATGCCTTGCGTGAGGAGGTCGGTACTTTACGCGATGACAATGGTGTATGGCGTGACGAGTTATCTACTTTACGTGGTGAGGTAGTGGCTCTACGTGAGATGGTAGCATCGTTGCAGAATGAGGTTCATACTCTACACAACGAGGTAAGTTTAAGATTTTTCATATTTAACTTGATTTACTCGTAATTTCACTTAGATTAACCATTTCACTTAGATTGCTTAGTAAATTCATTCGGTTACTGCCAATACTGCTAAACAGTTCTAAAATAACCCTGTGAAGTTAGTATTTGTCTTTGTTTTGTCTTTTGGTTGAAGTAATGCAATCCATTCAAGTTTCAATATGCAGAAGAAGAATAGTCGCAACACGAAACTTAAATCGCAACGCGAAAATAACTATCGCAACGCGGAAATGACTATCGCAACGAGATAATCGCAATGCGAAATAAAAATCGCAACGTGAAAATTGCAATGCGGAAATGACTTTCACAACGCGAATTTAGTTTCGTGTTGCGATTTTCTCGTTGCGATTTTTATTTCGCATTACGATTATCCCGTTGCGATAGTCAAATTCGCGTTGCGATAGTCATTTCCTCGTTGCGATAGTCATTTCGCGTTGCGATTTAAGTTTCGTGTTGCGATTTTAAGTTTCAGAAACTATTCTTCTTCTGCAAATTGAAACTTGAATTGATTAGATTACTTCAACCAAAAGACAAAGACAAATACTAACTTCACAGTGTTGCAAATTTAAGTTTCAAGAATAAACTACTACTCTTTATGTTGTCCTTGAACATGCCATAAACCTATATGTTGTCCTTTTAAATGTTTATAAGTGCGTACTTCCGAAATGTTATCTGATGCATTTTGTGAACTATGATAGAATAATGACTTGGTGAATACCGTGCAAGTTTGAAACATATTTGTCTTTATTTTCACTGTTTAATATCATGTCTATTTATTTACTGATTTATGTATTAATAATTATTTTTAGCGGCCCGATAAGGTGGATGCTTTACGTCGGGTTTTTCTTACACGACGGGGTTCACGCATCAGATGGCGTGCACGTGCCATTACGTCTCCATTCACCCCAATAGTGCGAAGACTCCGTAAGAAGAATCCCGACTCACCTGTCATCGTTCAAGAGGCCTCTCCTATCGTTCAAGAGGCCCCTATCATCCCTCAAGGGTCCCCTCCCACCGTTCAAGAGGCCCCTATCATCGTTGAAGATTTCCCACCCACCATTCAAGAGCCCGATTCATACGGCGTAATATGTCAAATTATTGAGAAACCCCCTCACGTGCCGACATGATGGATGACTGTTGGCTTTCGTATGAGTTACCGGCCAGTACCATTCCGGCAGATGAAGTGGAGAGGAAACAACTACCGGAAA